AAAATTTTTCTTTGTTTTGGCCCCCCAGGTGGTTTTGCCTTCCCCCCCCAGCCCCGGGAGGTTCTCCCCCTTTTTTGGGGTTTAGGGGAAGGGGGGGGGGGGGGGGGGGGGTTATTTTCATGTTATTTTGGGCCAGGGGAGGAGGGAGCATTTTTTCCAAGGGACCCTTCACGGAGGCCCATTGTTTCCTTTTTATTTGGTGAAGGGGGGTTAAAAATTGTTTTCCTGGCCCTGTTTTTCTTTTGGTTCATTTCCGGGGGGGGGGGGGGGGGGGTGAAGATACAGGGACAACCCTATGGGCGAGCAGAAACGGGCAGGTTGGAGGCAGTGCTGGGATTTAATACGCAGGAAAAGAGCGACCCAGCGCAGTAGAGTAACAGAACACTACAATAAACAACGTACGGGAATAGAGCTTAACTCGAAAATGACAAAAAAAAACAAGGAAAGTGACGAACATGTACCATTTCCTTTTCGGCGGAGCTTTTTAGGTTCACCCCTTGATCCCCGAAATGCTCACCTCACACAGCAGTCGCCAGTAACGATCCGCGCGAGAAACGGCCACACTCTTTTTCAGCAAGAGACCGTTTGAAAAGAATATCGAAGAATAACACCTTGGTGTTTAAACCGTACCGGCGTCTTCTTCGTCCTTGCGTTCCGTATATATTACCTAACCGAAACATCGACACCGACACCCCCTTAGCACCCTACACCCAGAGTGTACCCATGATTCCCGGACAACTAAGTACGTGCGGAGGCAACGCACCTGAAGCATGAAATTACGGATGCTTCGGTGGAACTTGGTCCCGTCGTAGTACTCCTTCTCACACAGCCCCAGGAAGTTCTCCGCCATGCGCGGAACGATGTCGCAGTGGATCTCGACGTTGATGTTCCCCTTGGTGGTCTGAAGCTGGCAGTACCCCTGTTGTTCGGAGCGGTCCCCCCCCCGTCGTAAGCGTCGACATGACAGAATTAGGGAATGACGACGTGGTACGCATCGATATCAGAACTTAGTAGTGTAGCAGGGGTAGCAGGGCATGTCCGAATGAAGGCAGAGTCTGCGACAACTGAGGGCGTACGGATGCAACTTTCAATCGACACATCACTCGATGCTGGCAATTCGACATACAAACCATCCAACGAGTGGAGGATACGTCTTGTTCTTTTCGGCGCGCCCTGGCCCGATGGTTGATAGAAATCAAGATGCCGCCGTCGTCGCTACAAGTGTGTAGCTTTGGAGGACTGCTACAAAGCATCGACCTCGGTCACCCGCCGGGAATTTAAAATACGTAAAGTCAGTCTTAGCGGGGTAAAAAGCGCCGCAAGGCCTTCTATCCTGCCGGCTGTCCCGACGGGTGGTCTGCGCTTCACGGACGTAAGGTGTCTCTTCCTACTTCTCAAACTTGCACGCCCGTGCCCTTTTACCTCTTTTCTCGGTGGTTGTACCTCTTTATGTTGTCCCTGTCTTTCTCATCATATCTACCCAGCCGCCTCTGAGCATGAATGTGCGTTGGGTGTAGTCCCTCCACCCCCAACCAACTTACAAACCTCACGACCTTAGACCTAATGCCGTGACGCTGCTGCAGTCTAAGCGGTTTCTGTTATTCTTCGTCTTGCCTTCTTCCCAAGTTTTCGGAGGCGGTACCAGCGCGCGTCGTTGATTTCGTCGTCCGTGGCAAGGCGGGCTTTGCTCTCCGTGCTCACCTGACAACACACGAAGAACATATCAGCATATCGGAAACTAGCATTTACCCAAAAAATAAAATCTCGAAATAAAAAACACGAAGCAAGAGATAATGGGCAAGGAGGACCAATGGAGTAGGCAAATCAGGAGGGAACACTGCTGTAGACAAACGAAGCGTTGGTGATCCGACCATGATCGCCTTTCTTCCCCTGTCTTTCACCGCCGTAGAAAACGCGACGGAGTAGAGCCGCTCCCCCATTCTTCTTACCGCAAGCGCGCTGGAGGTGAAGGAGCCCGACGTCTTCCCGCTGGTCATGATCCTGCCTCCGACAAGATCTTCCGTCGTTACCTTGCCTCGCTTCCACAGCCTCTCGCCCGCAGCAAGCCCGGCCTCCTCCCTTTCGTGTTTTTTGTGAACCGTCAATGAGTGAGGGGAGGGGGGGGCACACACGGAAAAGCTTGTTGGTATTTTCGAAATTTGAAAAAATGAGCGGGGGGGGGGAGGGGGGCACACACGGAAAGTATTGGTGGTAGTGGGGGAAGTTTTTTGGGGCGCTGCTGTTGCTGTTGCTGGCTACTCTCAGCTCTGGCCTCTGCGACTACTACTGCCGTAACACATGTTGCTCGCAGACACGTTGCATGCTATGTTGATCATACACGGATACAGGCTACAAACGCGATCATGGTCGCGAGTCCACACCATTAAGGACGGAGATTTTCGAGCTTTGTGCAAAACGGGCGCAATCAAAGTTGAGTACCCCTTGTTTTCTATCCTTTCTACTCTCCGCTTGTTCCGGTTTCGGTCGGTTGTCTTTCAGGCCGACTGCGGACGGAGGAGTGTTTCGTTCTTCGACAGGAATGATGCCACGGGGGTAGAGGTGACCGTCCTTGACATGGAAGCGCGGGAAAAAGAGAGCAATCCGTTTCCGCCATCACCCACAACAGCGACACGACGACAACAACAACACAGCACCAGCAGTATCAACATCAAGATCAACAGAAGCAGCAACAGCGGCAGCAGCAGCGGCGGCAGCAGCAGCAGCAGCAGCAGCAGCAGCAGCAAATACCCGTTTCCCCACCTCTCCTTGGCGGTTTTTCTGTCCTCTTCATCCTTCGCCGCCTTCTCTGCCGCGTCTCGCTTGCGTTTCGCACCAATCTCTCTGTACGAACCCGGACAGGTACACAAGAAACGGAGAGAGATCACCTCAGAACCGCACAACCAACAAATGCATACCAACATCGAGCAAGGCGTCATTAAAACCAAAAAATTTAAGATTTACACGGGGTGGTGGTTGTCGTTCTTCGCTCTTAATGGTCGTTGTGCTTCTGAGAAACGTAGCGCGGCAAGACGTAGTCTAGTAGTATCCCGGGCGTAGAATGCAGCACATACATATGAGAGAACCGGACGATTGGACGACATCTAAGTCGCGCAAGTAGAAAAAGGCTGTGTTCTGCAGCAGAACAAGATTCCAAACTCGTGGCAACATGGTACGCAATCAGAGCAGTTTTGTTCGGAAAGTAGCGGGATCAAGAGCGAAATACATAGCTTATTTTCCTGCATCCGGTTTGCCGTGGAAGACGATCAAGATAGAGAAAAATAAGTAACAAGCCCCAACGACCCCCCCCCGCCCCCTCTATGCACCTGAATATGAGCTCGGTGGACTTGGTCTGTCGGATCTTGTCCGCGTGCGCCACCTTGGCAAGCTCTGCCACACGCTCCTCCCGCACCTCCGAAAGGTGCACGAAGTTGTTAACATCCCTCGAGGCCACGAACTCCTTGTCTCCCGGGTCGTTGAGCTTGATCACGTCCTGGCGTGTTTTTTCCCCAACAAACAGAGAGAACACGGGGAATGAATCGCAATGAGCGCGTGTTGGGCCCACGATTCTCGGCGGGAGTGGTTGGGGTGTCGTTCACCATGGGCTAGGCTGGTTGGGGCCACTGTAGCAAAGACCTTACCTACGTGGCTCCTCCCGGCTGAAAACCGGGGCTTGTGTTGACTACACAAAACACTACAACGATTTGATGCGTTCAGAGAGAGAGAGAGAGAGTGTACCGTCTCCCCCCCCCCCGTCATGGTGTCGGGAATGCTGTTTGCGGATGACTTTGTTGGGGTATCTGACACCCCGGAGGGACTGCAAATACAAATTAATGCTGCGAAGGCGTTTGCTGATAAGTGGAGATTGTGTGCCAACGTTAGGAAGAGTGCCGTCATGGTATGCGACGAGAACAGGGAGGAACTAGTAGAACATAGATGGAAGTGGAGGGTCGAGGAGCTTGCAGTAGTGGACCAGTACACATACCTCGGAGTAAAGATCACAAAAGACTTCTCGTGGAATGCACACATGTTCAAGGTAGCGGAAAAGGGCAAAACACGAGCAGGGAAGCTGCACCAAGTACTCGCAAACCGTCACCTCGATACACGCATCAAATTGACGGGTTTGAAGAGCGTAATCGTACCGCCGCTAGAGTACGCCGGAGAAGTATGGTAAGGAAACAAGAAGGTAGTCAAAAAGCTCGAGGCGGCGCAGATGAAAGCAGCGAAAGTCATCCTAGGATGCTCCAAGCGCACAAGTAATGCAGCCGTCAGGGCAGAACTGGGGATCCTATCCCTACGATCGGGAAGAGACGCAAGGAAGCTGACATGGCAGTATCGCATGTGCGGGATGGGAGAGGAGAGGTTGCCGAAAATAGCCTGGGAGGCGAAGTGGGAAAACGACAAGAAGGGTAGACAACCCACGGAGTGGGTCCAGGTTGAAGGTGACGCATAGAAAGGGTTAGAAATTGACGAAGACGATAAGCTGGATACGGAGGGTCTAAAAGGGTTCAAGGAGAAGATATCTGTTGCTTTTGCCGAGAGAGCACAGAATCTAACGAAAGAAACCAAGGATAAGGAGGGTATAGAAGTGTATGGAATGTTGAAAGAAGGAATAGGGTTCAAGGAGTACCTTCATGGACCAATGGATGCTGGGACAAAGCTAAAGGTCAAATTCAGGACCGGGGACATTGGTCTTCGAGAATGTAGACGAAGACATAGGACGGTAGACGATGAAGACGCAAATATCAAATGAGATTGCGGCTTCGACCGCGAAGACCGCGTTCATGTAGACGCGGAATGTCGGCTGTACAAGAAGGAGAGGGAAGTGTACATGACTGAGCTGGGAAAGATACAAGGGAGGTACAGGGAGATGTTTGAGGCATGGGATATAGCCAGGAGAAGACGTTAGCTGTACTGGGGCATAGGAAGTGGTTTGAAAAGGCGGGAAGGGATATCGGTAGAAATGCTATCGGTAGGATAGATAGACTAGGGAAGACATTTTTGAGCCACCTTTGGCAAAGTAGGAAGGAACGATTGGCCATCGGTGATCGGTCCCGTGGGAACAATGCTCCGTCCTCTCGAGGACGCGTTGTCAATGGTCTAACCGCTAAGGCATGCAAAACATAAGAGTACGCCCCCCCCCCCCCCACGTCTTCTCCTGGCTATATCACGTGCGGTGCTTTCCAGTGGCCTGGGGGACGAAACTGGAGAAAG